TTGTTCATTTTATGTTATTGTTTGCATCTAATGTCGAACATACATTTCAGGCGAGTTGCTTTCAACACTTAGAGGCGAGGAAGTTGTTGACAGAAAGCGCATAATCCTTGACAGTTATGGACTGGACATCAATAGGCCAAGAAGGCCGCTACCAGAATGTCGGATTGGTTAGCCTTTTAATCTTACTTTCTCATCCTCAATGTTTTTTCCTGTATGTCCAGGATTTTCACTCTTTAGCCCAAGTAGTGCAGCGCATTGCATTTGGAGATCACCAAGATCCGTGCGATTTACCGCCTCCTCCACCTCATCCAACGGATGTCGTATCGGTATGTTTACTTTTCTATCTACTTTTACCGTAATAACTAAATCAAATTGTACTAACAAAATTGAAGTACGGTATATTGGTCCTTTGTAAGTTAAATTCTAATTAGAGGTTCGTCAATGACTTACAGCTATTTTGTTTTAGGTACGTAAACTTATGCGATCGAAAATGGTTCGATGTAAGCGCTGTAAAAACCGCTTCATAGAAAAAAACATTTATGAGCGGCATCTGAGGGATAGACATCCTGAGGATTATACTGCATATATCGAGGAACAGGTCGGTGTTTCTCATGATCAGTTTGCTTTAAATGTGTGTGTTTTGGTGAACAAAATACTTAATGTAAGGAGGCTGAAATGGAACAGCAACGACAAGAAGAAATTGAAGCAAACCGGATTGAAGAGCTTCAAACTGGAGGTTTCATTCCTCCAGAGTCAGAAATCGAGGCTTCCTCCTTTGAAGTTGACATTGAAGGGTAAGTCAATCATCGTCTGCCTCAATCTCTGTCATGTACGCATATTCGCGTGAAAAGAGAATGTTCAAGATAGAGGAAGATTTTTAAGAATTCCGCTTCCTGGTGAGAATAATGGTGGAGTAGCCCCTCGTTTTGATCAATATGGCAGATTGAAACAACTAAAACGTCCGTATAAAAAGAAGGTGATTTCTGTGCTAATGCGTCTTAGAAGGCGTTACTTTGCATTGTCATTTTTTACAGATATCTCCCCAATGCCCATTTTGTGACAAACGGTTTCGTAACGAATATTCGCTTAAAAAGCACTTTGTAAAGAAACACGCTGAACTAGTTGAATTCAAGCAATGCACGAGATGTTACAAGTGCGTGAAAGATGATGAAGAAATGGAGAATCACCTTTGTGAATTGGTAAGATATTTTATTGTATTTCAGTCATTTAAATCTTTACGTATTCGCTACGTCATTCACATGTAGTTTGTTTAGACATTTGTCTGCTTCGAGTGCACACCAATTCGTAATCTCTGCAGCGACGTACGACTACTTAATCACAGAAAGAAGTTTCACCGAGGTTTCTGATTTTTGCTGCTCAATCATTGAGTGTATCTTGATGTTAATGTCCATTATTTCTTCAGGTGCAAATTCTGGCTTCAAATGTAACCTGTGCAATTTGAAATTCTTAACTCCGCGAAAGCTGCGAAAGCATAAGAAGATGTCTCACGTATTCACAAAAACCTATCAGTGTCACTTTTGTGAAGAGATTTTTATCAGTGAAGTTGCGGTAAGCTTCTGTTTCAACTTGATTTGCACTATATTTGAATGCCACTTCATGTGTTTTACCATCTCTACTGGTTTGTTTAGGTGATGACACATGAAAGAATCCATACAGGAATGATAAAGTTTGAATGTCGTATATGCGATTATAAGGCAAATCGCTTCATTCAAATGGATGAACACTGTAAAAACGAGCATGGCTATATCTGCTCTATCTGTCAGGAAAAAACTGCCGAGTGGAGCGATATGAAACATCATACGCTAGTAAAGCACGGCGGGTATCTGGCTACAGAACAGAATGCTGGTGAGACTAACTAATGAACCTTTAGAATGCTTTCATCTCCTATCATGTTAAGAATTTCAAATTGGCTTAAAGGTTTTAAGGGATTTTCCTTCATTTCCATTGTTT